AGCAAGACTAAGGGAACTGCAAAGTATTGTGCTAGTGATAGAACTTTCTTTCCCTCCATCTTGTAGTCCTCCACTTCATCCAAAGACTGCTGGGTTGCCTATCCTTTTAGAGCAGGTTTGAGGGTGCATGGGGGCTCCAAGGGGAAGAGGAGATTGTCTTCCCTCTTTGTTACACTGAGAGAAGCAATTTCATCAACAGAACAAAGCCATTGGATCATAGTTAGAGTAGTTTATTACATACGTTTAATGTTCCATAACATTTCCAAAAGAGGAGTCACCCTAATCTGTTGCAGCAAAATTATCAGTCTTACAGCATCTTAGACTAACACATATATTATAATGTGTTTGTTTGTGAGCACAAGCCACTCCCTCAGTTTTATGATCCCAGGCCAAGAAGGTATTTTTAAGGGGTGGCCTAAGATAGACCTAAGTGGCTGGGCCCTGTATTATTATCACCTGCCTAATGATGTTTGTGTGTGTGCCTTCAAGTCGCCTCTTGTCTTATGGCAGCCCCATGAATCTCATACAGTTTTCTAAGGAAAGGAATACTCGGAGATGGTTTTGCCACTTCCTTCCTCTGAAAGGTAGCCTACAACATTTGGTATTCATTGGCAGTCTCCCATCCATGTACTAACCAGGGCTGCCCCAGCTTAGCTTCCAGGATCAGATAGCATCTTGGAGTTTGATATCCACGAGGGGTCCTGGAACTAAACCTCAGCAGACACCAAGAGCCCACTGTATTCCAACATTAAAGAAAACCATTGCTTATGCTGGAGACAGGTCATAGTGAGAATGGAAACACTGAAAGGTCACACTGAATTTAAATGTAAAAAGCAATTACGTATATTGTGTAACTTGTGTTTACCTTCCTTTTTCAGGTTGAAAATGAAACTAACCAGCTCCAAGATGGTTCACTGATTGATCTCTGTGGAGCAACGTTGTTGTGGCGTACTGCAGAAGGACTCTCTCGCACTCCAACAGTGAAGCATCTGGAAGCCTTGAGGCAGGAAATCAATGCAGCCAGGCCTCAGTGCCCTGTGGGCTTTAACACATTAGCCTTTCCTAGTATGAAGAGAAAAGATGTTGTGGATGAAAAGCAACCCTGGGTTTATCTAAACTGTGGTCATGTCCATGGCTACCATAACTGGGGGAACAAAGAAGAGAGAGATGGGAAGGATCGGGAATGTCCAATGTGCCGATCTGTCGGTCCCTATGTGCCTCTCTGGCTTGGATGTGAAGCTGGATTTTATGTAGATGCTGGGCCTCCCACTCATGCGTTCAGCCCATGTGGACATGTGTGTTCTGAAAAGACGACTGCCTATTGGTCCCAAATCCCTCTTCCTCATGGTACCCACACTTTTCATGCAGCCTGTCCAT